CAAAAAGGAAACCTTTGACTGCCTAAATCAACCTAAGTTTGCAGAGAACATTTTTTATGTGGAGCACCAACAAAGCAAAACCCTGATCCCTCACTCAGCCTTGATTACGAATTAAAAAAGTTAAAGCCAAAGCGAAAGGCACCAGCTGTTCGCCAAGAAACACCTTCCACTGCAAAGAGACCAAGACGTGATGTTGCTGTAAAGTCAGTCAAACAAGAAAGTGCAGCTCAGTCTGTTTGTCTTCTGCACCTCTCGCTTAACAAACAGGATTTTGCTTTGGTGTTGCTCCACATACAAAATGTTCACTGCAAACTCAGGATGATTCAGGCAGCCAAAGGTTAGGCAGCTTTCTGGTCCTTCCTGTGGATCAATCCTGCCTATCACCTTCACCTTTCACTATTTTTTAATTCCATTGGGAAGAGAAACAGTTTGAACAGAGGTTTACAGTCACACACATCTGATTCCCTTTTGCAGTTATGGAGTTTGCAAACAAATTTCTCAAGCCATTTTCCACTGTTAGGATCCAACAGCCACACAATTATGATGCCCGAATCCCAAAACTAAAATATGACAAAGAACCAGAAACAAAAGCGATATGGTTCAATAAACTTGAAAAGATCGACTTTGTCAATAGGTGCATCCCACTGGGAAATCAAACATGGCGGTTTGATGCTCACTTTTTCGGAAAATCCTTCCCAGTATGCATTCCGCAATGACCGGAAGTCCGAAATTCTTGATGCATCTATAGGGAAGGGGAAAAAAACACGCCCCCCGGCTCTGGTCCTGTTAGTGAACATTTGTAGCACTGACCACCTGCTGGTACTCTGCCCTGACATGAGAGCCGTTGTCTTTGTTGAAGAAAGGCAAAACGCTTCAGGCAAAAGTGACACTAGTTTAGACAAGACCTGCATGCACTACTGTGGCTCCGGCTCACACGGGGCTGTAGAAAAGTGGTCGTTTTTTTGCATTCTGTTCGGGGCATGTGTGGTACGAGGCGGGACAGTCCAGTCTTGGTCCATGTGAAATTCCGGAAACGACAGAGAAATGAGGCACTTAGTATTCAGCCACACAGTCTGACTAGGTCCCACTCTTAAAGGACCTGTACCTGACGTGTTTCCATGCATTTGCACATAACATAGATATAAGGTATAAAAGTGTTGTCACGATACGAATTTCAAACTCAATTTTGATACCAAGGAATAGACTCTTGTACTCTTTCTTTAGTCAGTTAGATTTTCAGCATTAAATGATAGCACTTTCTTTTCTATTCCCATATCTGTGTAATCCCTCAGTGGTCCAGGTAGGTTCCATAGTAGTACAGATCTAAATGAGGTCTAAATGAGGTCTAAATGAGGTCTAAATGAGGTCTAAATGAGGTCTAAACCAGGTCCATGTGTGTATACAAGTCTATGTGCTCTTATACTTGTTCTGAAACAGCTCAGGATCATTCTAAAATGATTTAGGAAAGGTTAATTCCTGCCCTGAATAGCTTTTTTAGTAACAATACCTGTTCAAGAGAGTGTCTAGTTTAAATTTTGATTCGATACTTTGGATAACCCTACTTTATAAGCAGCTCTTGAGGTCAAAATGTTCCCACCTACATCGGCATCTAATTATGAAGTTAAACACTTCATAATGCCCAGTAATTAGGAAGTGTACGTTAGCATGCCAGTTCTTTGCTTTAACTCAGCTCTTGTCTCTGAGAGTTGTGAAAAGCACTTATAAACTCATCGTTGTAAGAGAATTTAAGTAAAAACTTCAAGAGAATTTAAAGAGACAGTTCAGAATTTTGGACATAGATCCTCATTTCCTAGTGGTCCAGAGTGTTGGAGACGTGTGGAGACACTTTTTGAAATATTCCATCCAGTCCTTGTATTTGCAGAGGTCACTGGTGCTAGACTAGTGCATGTCAATGGTCATAGTTCTCCTGCCACTAAAAACAGTCTTACCCACTCCACAAAACACCCCAAACTAATCTATTATTACACCAGACTGTCCATGTGAATGTCTGTGTTGATAGAATAATGTTTGAAATAAAACTAATCTTGCATTTGTAGGATTTCTGTCTGAGCAGAAATGAGTTGTACTTCCCGATTGAAAACTTGGCAGCGGTGGACTGATATATGAGAAAATAGTCCCTCAACATGCGACGATACCTGCGATGCAAGGTTAGTTTTATTTCAATCACTTTCACTTTTCAAATCATACTATGTTGACTTTTCATTACTGATGGTAAATAAATTATTCTGCTTAAGACCTGCTTAAGTTAGTCTCCAGCCTTTTACATCAATCTGTTCTTGGACAAGCTGAAAACTTCTCCAACAATCGTGGTGAACGATGAGGATGCTCGGAATTGTACGAGGTACGTGAGGAATCACTCTGGACCACTGCTTTTCACGTTTTTAAGAGAGTTTTTAAATCAGGTACAGCGCCTTTAATTTGAGCAGGGCTTAAGATACTTCAACATTTTAAAACAGGTTGCGCCAAAATGTTTTAAAAGTCACATGAACAGACGGCGGAAGCCAGTAGGACTCTATGGTTGAAGTGATGAATGGAAATCGCAAAAATCCACAAATGTTTAACCTGATATTTTTGGTTCTATGGATCAGATCAGTTCATCTTATGGCTTCAGGTCCTTTCAACTGACAACTATTGTGCTGTCTTGAATCATTGTTCCATTTTTTGATACTAAAGTGAGAAAATTTAGTCAAAAATGAAAAGTTTGTTTATAGAAACTAAGCCAAACTGTCTTCAATGTGATCAGTTTCTACCATAGAATTCATGGCTCCCCTTTAGCTCTACTTTAGAATCATATTTTTAGGTGATCACAACATCTATGAGTGATTTTGCGCGTTATGGCTGTACATTGTAGTTGTAAGTCACCTGTTGGGACCATTGTTCACACAGAGGATGGGAGGATGCTAGAGCGATAAAGGGACACGAGCAGAACATGCAGACCCACCCAGAGAGAGAGAGAGTGTTCAGAATCAGTCTTTCCTTCTCATTTTGCACTCTCAAAGTATCATTTTGTTCTGTGCTTAGATCCTCCAGAAAAGCTACTTTTATCTCACAACTACCACATACAGCCGCCTACAACTTTTGAAACAACTCATTAACAAACACTAAATTATAAAAAATGTAAACTTTTATTAACTTGGCAAAAATTGTTCTACTACCAAGAAGTGCATCTATTTTTTTTTTATTTTTTATAAATTAAAAAATTGAGTTTTGAGGTAAAGGATTCTATGTTGGCAATCATAAACAAATAGTTCATTAAAGATCACATATTATGCATTTTTGTGGCTTATAAACATGATTTTGGTCACATTTTATAGCGTAAAATAATGATTGCATTTGGAAAATACTTTATAAACTTCACCTCTGTTTCCAAGTTAACATACATGAGCATTCACACAGATGGTGGCGCCCTCTGCTGTCAACAATGGGAATGCACAACGGCAAAGTAAATAAATGAGGTCCTTCTCCGTGAATGCTATGCTTAAGGTTTAACTCTTTCCCCCATGAAGACGACATTTGACAACCCCCCCTTGTTTCCTTAATGACGTCTTTTGACACCTCCACTGTTTCACTAAAGACGTGATTTGACGACCTTTAGAAACAGTTTGAGTTTTTCACATGTAAACAGAGGCTGTGGTAGGTGGGGGCCACTACAACCCAAACTAGGCTGACCAGTAGGATTCAAGGATATGTTTTCACAGATTTTTTCCAAAGTTAATTGAAGTAGTGACGATTGTAGCTTCCGGAAAAAACACAACACGAAACATGTGCAGTGGAAAGATCGCGGCGCTGCGGCGCACAGTTTTATAAATAATGAGGAGCGCACGTATTTTATGGATAAGTTTAGAGAAAGTGACTTTTATAAATTTCAAAGCAATGATGAAGTTGATTATAAAGTGGAAAACAGCGATAGAGACGGACTTACAGAGAGTGAATCTTACGCCTTTGGTGCATCTGTATGGAGTCCTGCGATATCCAAACAAACTATCGGGGACTTTATACTCGATTATGAACCAAAATTGCCCTGAAATCTGGATGTTGCTGAGGCTAGTCCTTTAAAATATTTCAGTCTTTTTTTTTCAAGATGTGATGTATGACAGAATCGCTACAGAAACAAACACTTATGTGAAGCTCTGCGCACGAGAAAGTAGCCTCATTTTCAGTGAGCTGTTATAAACCTGTAAATGAGTTGAATCACACTGAAACATCCATAAATAAATAGTTCAGAGTCTAAGGTTTCCAGAGATACCAAATATATCTGTGTTTCAATAAATTTCATGAGTGTAAAAATCATTTATAATCACTTGTGTCCGTTTTCTTTTATGCAATTATGCTCTATGAGTAGCCCTAGTAATATATGTATGGGTTGTTCCTAGTTGGTGTCCAAGGGGGAAAGAGTTAAATGCAAAAGGAATCTGGTGATAGTTTATGGGCTCAAAAACTGTAGGACAATCCCAGACGTTTACCTATGACACAACAAAACGGGTAAAATGTTGTGCTCAGAGACTTTAGATTAATGAATTAATAAGCGTGAATGGTATGTTTACGATAAGGGGACAGTATAATATGATTAGATGCTCCAAAAAGTACATTTTGCATAATATGTGTTCTTTAAGTCCAAATCTTTGAGGAATGAGAGAGTTTTGGCTGCTGTTACAAGTCAAAGCAAAATAGTTGATGTGCTTTGACGTCAGTGCAATAAAGGGGGATTATCAGAGTAAAGTTTTAAGTTAAAAAAACAAAACATTTTTATAAAGTTGGAATGATTTCTCTTTTGGACTGGCTTTTTCCTCACTCTCATCTTAAATCCACTGCTACCTTCACATGTGTATCATGTCGATATTGCGTTGATGTGTAGATGCCATATTGGACAGGTTGTACAAAGCCAGAGTACAGGTTTCACTTTGTCCTGTTCAATATGGCGTCTCGTTCAGCACACTTGGCCGATGCAGTATCTCACTCAGTGTCTCTATAGTGTCCCGTCAGCACCAGTCCTTGTCCTCTCTGTCCCTGAGTGCTCCCGTCCCTCTGCCTGTGGGACTGGGTGCAGAGTTCACCCCTAGGGTAAAGTGGTATCCGTTAGGGACCCCTCCTGCGGCTGAAGACCCAGTGGGGGTGGTCCTGTTGGGGGGTCGCCCTGAAGCGTGGCTGCCTACTGCGTCCGGGAAGTCCTGGGGGTCCTCGTGGCGGGACGCGGCCTCTCTGTGGGGGCTCAGGTTAGGGTCTGAGCTGATGCGGGTGACTGAGATGGCCGTGTCCTCACGAGGGCCCAGTAAGCGTTCATGCTCCGACTGTCCTCGGCTGGGGCGGGGAAGGTGTCCGGTGGTGAGGGCGGTGGAGGGCAGAGGGGAGGGCAGGGTGGACGGGGTCTTGAAGGCCACTCCGGGCCGAGGGGTGAGAGGGGTCTGAGGGAGCTGGCGTCTGCCCCGCCCTGGTGCGGAGCTCAGGGCAGGAGCGAGGGTCCCAGGTCTGAGCTGCAGAGGGACAGGAAGAAGAAAAGGCTTTTGTTATGTTATTACATATTCTGACATTTTTATTAAAAGTTCCCTGCACCAAACATATTGTCAGGATAAATGATCACTGACATCAGTCAAACTCTGTAGCACCACTTCAGTACTAGTACATGGAGTACTTACTACATGGAAACAGGATACACTTTGTCACTCGACTTTATGGTAATAAGATTAATCCTAATACTAACCCTAAAACTATAAATGTCCAGAAAACATTGTTTCTTTGTACTATAGATACAGCGGTGAAAAATGCATTTATTCTGTTATAATTTTGTGTGTATAAACCTTTATCCTACAATAAAGTGCAACATATTCATTCAAAATAAATACATAATAAAAATTGAACTACATTTATATTCTGAATGTGTATGACTTTAACTAACACCATTTCAGTGGGTTCTTATGAACTGTATTTCATAACAAAGAGCATAAATGATATTGCAGACCTGTCTGAGGTATGGGTCGGGCGCCTCCCCCGGTGACGTGGTACAGCTGGGTCCGGCTGAGCGTGTGTGGGCGGGCTCTCTGTTGCCGTAGCGCTCACAGGAGTAGTACCTCTGCTTCTCTCCGGCTGAAGAGTGGTGCCTCCTCTCAGCAGGACGACTGCGCTCACGATCCCTGGCCCTATCCCGTGACCCACCCTCATCCGGCTCCTCTGGGAAGCGACCTACAGCAGACGGCAGGCAGGAGGAGACAAAAGTGTTAGTAACTGTTAACAGAACATCACTGGCTGCCCATGAGTTCACTGTTGAAAATGAATGAGGCTAAATACAACTCCATGTCTGTGTTTGATGAGCAAACAATGTTAAAACATGGTTAAATGCTCAAAAAAGTCTATTTTGCATATTATATCTTTAAAGATCCTATAACAGGGGGTTGTGAAGGTACTGCAGGTGAGGTACTGCAGCTTTACTTTTACACACAGTGGAACTTAAGCTCAGCATGTATTACTGCGCTTCGAGAAGGGGTCAGGCAACTTCATTCCCCACCCGCATTATTCAGGCTCTGCACTCCACACTACACAGCCCACGTCCTCTCTACCCCCGGAGCGACCGAGAGAGGAGGGGGAGTCGTATTTTTCTTCTCACTCCTCAGGTCAGAATGAGCGGAAAAGTTCCATGTCCCATATCAAACTCTGGTCTGTGTCCTCTCTCGTTTAATCAGATCATTAAAAAAGTCACACTTTGAGTCTTTGAGTCCATTTCCCATGATGCTGTTAATCTATTGCTCTGGCTTTCTCAGAGTCACAAAGTGCATCTTAAACTTCAGACCTGAATTAGCTTTGGTCAGAGGTTTATTTCTGTCATGGAACAAGTTGAGGCTTAAACTGGAGATGAAGAGTTTCAGCTCTGGATTTCAGGATAAACGTGCAATAACACAGTAACTGTTTATACATGACACTAGGCCCAATTTAATATAAAACACATGTCCTATAATACACACAACTGACTCTTGTGAGCTTTAAGCCGTGTTCTAATGTTATTTCAGCAAATTTCATCAAAAACAAACTCATGTTTGTTTCATTCACACATGTTTGGTAATATTTTATTATTAGTCTGTGTAAATCTCCAGAGCTCAAAATCCTCTGTTCCACCTTGGGATGTGGTAGTTTTGAAGTTAACAGCTTCCTTTTTTTTTTTTTTAAAGTGTTTTCTGTTAAATATGGATGGTTTGTGTGTTAAACATGTGAATGAAACAAAACACAACTCCAGATCAGTTTTATGGAGGCAGGGAGCGCTCATAACAAACGCAAACATCAAAACAAATACAAACACGACAAATAAAAAGTCACAACAGAAATGAACGCTGGACTGTATTTTAATGCAAACGCTGCAACAAATACAAATGCCACAACACAAATACAAACGCCACAACACAAATACAAACACCACAACACAAATACAAACGCCACAACACAAATACAAACGCCACAACACAAATACAAACGCCACAACACAAATACAAACACCACAACACAACAAAAAGCCACAACAAACCAAAAAGCCACAACAGAAGTGACCACGGGACTCTATTTTACGACGGACCAAGTGACGGTCACGTCCACTTCTCCGTTCCTTTACGTTTCCCATTCTTCTTCTTCTTCTACTTTTCCCATTCACTTCCCACTTGATCCTTTAATGCTTTGCTTGGTCCATCGGAAAATAGAGTCCCGCACTCACTTTCATTGTGGCTTTTTGGTTTGTTGTGGCTTTTTGTTGTGTTGCCGCATTTATATTTGTTGTATTTGTTGTATCCTTTAATGCTTTGCTTGGTCCATTTACATTAAAATAGAGTCCCATGCTCACTTACATTGTGGCTTTATGTTGTGTTGTGGCGTTCGCATTTGTGCTGTGCTCACATTTGTGTTGTGGCGTTTACATTTGTGTCGTGGCGTTTGAATTTGTGTTGTGGCGTTCGCATTTGTGTTGTGGCATTTACATTTGTGTTGTGGCATTTACATTTGTGTTGTGGCATTTACATTTGTGTTGTGGCATTTACATTTGTGTTGTGGCATTTACATTTGTGTTGTGGCATTTACATTGTGTTGTGGCATTTACATTTGTGTTGTGGCGTTTACATTTGTGCTGTGCTCACATTTGTGTTGTGGCGTTCGCATTTGTGTTGTGGCGTTTACATTTGTGTTGTGGCATTTACATTTGTGTTGTGGCATTTACATTTGTGTTGTGGCATTTACATTTGTGTTGTGGCATTTACATTTGTGTTGTGGCATTTACATTTGTGTTGTGGCGTTTACATTTGTGCTGTGCTCACATTTGTGTTGTGGCGTTCGCATTTGTGTTGTGGCGTTTACATTTGTGTTGTGGCGTTTACATTTGTGTTGTTGCATTTACATTTGTGTTGTGGCGTTTGCATTTGTGTTGTGGCGTTTGAATTTGTTGTAGCGTTTCTATAAAAAAAAACTTTAAGTCTTGCAGTCACTTTCGTTGTGGCTTTTTTTTGGTGTTGTAGCATTTTTTTGGTTTTGTTGTGGCTTTTTGTTTTGTTTGTATTTGTCACGCCATTTGTGTTTGTTATGAGGTGAGAAAATAGCATCATATGGGCCCTTTTCCTGCGTCTCATACCAGGGACGTCCATCTGCTCCAGGGACTTCTGCCTCCTCTCCCTCTCCCTCCTCCTCTGGCAGCGGTGGTGGTGGTAGTGCCCCCTGCCTTCGGCCTGCTCCAGCCTCTGCAGGTCGTACTCCCCCAGCGAGAGCTCCGGGGGGCGCTGCGGAGCCAGGGAGGACGCCGACCGCCTCACCGGGCTCAGGTCCACGATGGGCTGATGGAAACAAAGGACACGTCAGAGGAGAACGCGTGCGGAGAGAAGAAACATGAGCTCAAGTCGAGATGGTTCCACCCAAAAGACGGCACAAGCACAACACGACTGCTCACAGAACCTTTAAGCCGGCAGAGTGTTAGAAGAATCACAAAAGAAAAATAATGAAAGATCAATTATCAAAAGAAAGCAGGTTAGTTAAAACTGGGAAAGTGCTGATCCTCACAGTTCGGTTCAGAATGGTAAATGGTAAATGCACACAGAATTATTGAGACTTTGCAACTGATGACGTCAACATTCCCTGGGGGTATGATGATAAATGTAGGCACTGCTCTGTCTGAGAGTTTATTAGACTTTAATCTGCTTTATTTTGACACGATCGAACCATAAAGAACAGAGCTGGAACTACAACAAACAAGCTGATTTGTGCTCTTAAACAAGTCTCTAAAGGCCGCCACACACTACAGGATTCTGGAAAAGTGCACACCACAGACATGAGGAGAATCTTATGAGACTGTGATGGAAATTTATATTGTGGAAAGATTTCTCTCAAGCTGTCTTTGTGTAAATGAATGTGATTTCTATGTGAGACCAGACCCCCACAGGACAATATTGATTATGACTGATTATTTTATCTTTTAGAAACTCATTTGGTCTTGTAACTAATTCAGTTGGTTTGGTAGTTAAAGACAGTGTTAGAAAGACTCTTCAATGTAAACACTTGCTCCCTTTTGCTCGCTGATCTTGTTTGGAAGTGACAAATGTAGCCAGTGTTGGGGAGTAACAGATTACATGTACTGGAGTTACATAATCAGAGTACAAATTATGAGTAACTGTATTCAGTTACAGTTACTGTTTCAGTGAGTGGTAATTGGATTACAGTTACTTTGTTGAAATAAATGGATTACACAGCAGTATTTTCCTGTTTTCACATTTTGGGCTATATCCCCCTTGTTGTTTTTTTTTCGGTAATTCCACTCATTGCCGGAAACTAAACCAAGTCTAAACTAGATCTAAACCAGGACGAAACCAGGACTAAACCAGGACTAAAACCAGGTCTAAACTAGATCTAAACTAGATCTAAACCAGGACTGAACCAGGTCTAAAACAAGTCTAAAACTAGGTCTAAACCAGGTCTAAAACCAAGACTAAACCAGGACTAAACCAGGACTATACCTGGACTAAACCAGGTCTAAAACCAAGACTAAACCAGGACTAAACCAGGACTAAACCAGGAATAACCAGGACTAAACCAGGACTAAACCAGGATTTAACAGGATTTAACAGGATTTAACCATGCTGCGCAGACGTGTCTCCTCCTCCTCTATCAATAATATTTTTAATACGTTTTTAATAATAAGAAAAGTCTGGGCTTTTTCATTTTCTTTTAGCAGACAAAACATCTTATGTGAAGATTTCCTCGTCTTTACTTCTCTACAGCAAATCAAGTAATCCAAAGTATTCAGATTACGTTACTCACTTTAAGTAATTTAATGGATTATGTTACAAACTACATTTTGGGGTATGTAATCTGTAATCTGTAGGGGAATACATTTGAAAAGTCACCTTCCCAACACTGAATGTAGGTGAATATGGATGCAAATCAGATCAAGCACATTGAGCCACACCTCAATAGGAGTCGTCACCTTCTTAGTTTGAGATGTATGTACTCTGGTTATCTCAGGCTATATAAACTTGGTGCTTTGTAACATTGAGGGTCAAATGGAGTAGGGACATTCTGCTGGGAAGGGGAGGATGTCGGTCTCTGGTCAGGGCAGGCCTAGGCCCTGTCCATATCTGCTGTAAAAACAATCTGCTGTCTGTATTCCAAAAACTTATCAGGCTTCACAAATGGATGATTTTTTTTTCCTTCAAGAGATATATAATTTTTCCACAACAAGATTTTAAATCTCTGATCGTAAAAACTGCAGTAGGATATGTCTGCACAGAATATAAAGTTGTGAGCGCAATTGCGTCAGCTGTCCCTCGCTTCCTTCTCCTTGATTCCTCTCCTCAATCCTTCATTTTTTATCTGTCAATCAAACGTGTCATATTAAGTGCATCCCAAAGAAAACCACTGAAGGAAGGAGTAAAGCTGAAGAGGCTTCGGGAGCAGACGTCAGAGAAAACAATTAGATTTTATTGGTCATGGTGAGGAGTTTAGATCCTCTCTCCTCCCCGTGTCTCCTCTGTGGGCGGGACTTCCTCACCCATTTCCTGCAGAATCGAGGAGAGGAATCAAGGAGAAGGACGCAAAGAAAGAGAAAGAAAACGAAACGGATTTGGTACTAAACCGTGAAGTTTTCAGCACCTTCCTCAGATTCAGCAACTGACCAATAAAACCACAACCACACATGAGATGAGGCAGTACAAGGTCAAAATCTACACTTTTATGACTCATTTATGTCCCAGTTAATGTTTTGTGTCTGTGTGTTCTTAGGAATGCCTCATCTCACAGTGTTGGTTGTAGCTCTGACCAGAAATAAGAATACTTTCACAACACAGAAAAGTTACAGTAAATTATATTTGTATGTACAGTATATTCAATATCCAGTCTTAAGATGTGAGATGTTCCATGTTATTCAGTGAAGGGAAAATAAAACACACATTTAAGACTGGTTTCAAATACAACTGAGTAGATTAGACCAGAACAGAAAGTTAGTATAAACACAATTCACAAAAGTACACAGCACCACCAACCCAGTCTGCTCACAGCCCTGTCCACCACTGTTCCTGTGTCTGTGACTTCAGACGCTGAGCAAAGCACTTTTCACACACTTGTCAAGACTTGGATGAATAATGGCACGCTACCCTGGGGTAGAATGACGGTGACATCAGTGGAGCAAAGTGCGGGAAGTGTCTTGCCTAAGGACATGCACTGTAAAAAAGCTTGGCCAAAATTGAAGATATAAACACATAAATCTGTCAGAAAATCACTTCAAAGTAGTGAAATTATCTGTCCATGCAGGAAAATCATTTTACTTGGGAAGTTCTCTTAAAATAAACTACTTCTAGAGTAGAATTAAGCAGTCTCAGAACAAGAGTATTTTTTGGACTATAAGCAGCACTTTTTCTTTCATGGTTTGGGTGTTTCCCGTGACTTATATATTCAAATGTTCACACTGAAGCGATTAGAGGTTCTAGTCTTGTGTGTGAGTATCTGCTGCTCCTGTTCCTCCTGTACCACTGTCACTTCACTCTACTGCTCATGTCTCATGCAGAAAGAGCCTCTGTTCTGTCTGTATCATGTCAGTCGATCGCACCATTACGTCTGCACCACTGAACAATTTAACATTTAAACAAACTTATAAAGACGACTGAGAAAACTGAATGATGAACAAAAGAAGATCATATTGCAGATTACAAGCTGCAAGTCGTGAAATCTGCAGCTGAAAATGATACTCGAGCAGCAGAAAGAAAGTTTGGAGTGAGAAACTTGTGACACCAGGAGGATGCACCATGAAACTTTCCTGAAGTCACTGGATGGATGGACAAAGTCTGGACTTCAGTGACACTGAAACCATCCTGTCGAGTTTCAGAAAGACAGGAATAATTCTAACTGAAACTGATGCTGAGTCTGACGACAGCGACACAGAAGAGGAAGCAACGCTCTGTTTACCTCCTGGAGGTTGAGGCCGAGTTGCTCAGAAGTGACACCGAGGATGAAGAATTGAATGGATTTAGTGATTTGGAGTGAGATGGAGAGTTTGGTAAACTTGTTCTGTTCTGTTGTTTGTTATAGTTTATCTGAAGAACTGTTCATATGTGACGTTAACAGTCTGTTGTTCTCTTCTATTGTTATTACCAGAACTTGACTTTACACACGAAATGTCTGTTCCTGGTCTCTGATTTTATAAAATAAATTCCCCCCAAAAGTGCGACTTATATATGTTTTTTTTTTTCTTCTTCATTACACATTTTTTGGCTGGTGCTGGTTTGACTTATAGTCCAGTGTGACTTATAGTCCAAAAAATACTGTAGTAAGTAGATAATAAATCTGAAAACAAGATGAATAACCTGATATAAGTTTTAAAATCTTGGCCAGATCAGAGAATTTGCAGTGTAACAACAGTTTGCACTCCAGTCACTGCAGCCTCAGTGTGGCACCTGGAGTTCCAAGCAGTCTCCCATCCAAGAACTGACCAGGCTGACCATAAAAGTGACACTGATTGCATTAATATTGTATTGAATAAATATAATTATTTAAGGTCCTATATTATACTAACTCAAATCTTTAAGTCATGTTACAATGCTGTTACTTCCTTCTTGTGTTTTGTTTCATAATGGACTAAATAAGAACAGAAATAAATATTTGCCCATTTCTCACAGACTGGGTTGCTTCCACACACACAAGCCGCCACCGTCCACCACATTGTAAAAAGAAAACTCCAACAATGAACCAAAGCAACTTAAATTATTCATATTAATGTCAGCAGAAGAGTTTTCATACGAGATAGTTGAGAAGAGAAAGAGGGAGCAGCAAAACACACGACATGGAGGAGAAGAGAGAGAGGAGGACAGGAGGAGGACAGGAGACAGGAGGAGGACAGGTGGAGGACAGGTGGAGGACAGGTGGTACATACTGCCAGCTGGGTCCCAGGGCTGTGCCGGGGGAGATTCCGCTATGGGACAGACCAGAGGAGGGGACAACGTTAGATTCAAAACAGGTTAGCAAGGACAGAAGAGAGACAGGAGACAGGAGAGAGAGACTGCGAGGGTCCAACAGGTATTCAAGCTCCACACACTAAATGAATATCTCTTCCTTTTTGGTACTTATCCTTATGACCACATTCAGACAATATTATAATAATCAAACAGTACAGGGTTCTAAAGGTCAAATGTTATTTCAGCTCATAGACTGTATAAAGACGTGGACTAAGGGAGAGTGTCGTCACCCACAGTGTTCAGCTCCAGTCAAATGAAGCTCATGAAGACAGCGATTATAGGAGCCAATTTGGAGTCGAGTTCCATATTAAGAATAAGAATTGATTTAAAGACAAAAAAGCAAAATAAAAACAATAGGATCGTGTAGAGTGGGTTAATATGAATATTTTGAGACCAAAATGAGTCTGACAGCAGCAGTTGCAGAGAGAGGAGTGACAATTTTTCAATAGAAGATAAATTGGAACCAGAGGAAGCGCACCCATGTTCACTTCTGTTTGGAATGTGGCAGTGTCCATGTATATAAACAATTTATGTTTCAGCTGATCAAAGAATTGACAGAAAATGGAACACAGGAACACACATGTGTACATATATATGTGCACAGACACACATACACACATACACACACACACACACACACATACACACACACACACACACACACACACACACATACACACACACACATACACACACACACACACACACACACACACACACACATACACATGCAGATTCCAAACAAAGGACATTATTAATAAAGCACAGATAACTTGTATGTTTTACCAAACCTCAGCTCTGTAACAGTGGACTTGAACCTGTACCTGAGGGAGTTTGTTGAATTAGTTTGACTAAACAGAACAGGAGTCAGTCAGACTGTCCAATCAGAGACTCTGATATATATATATATATATATATATATATATATATATATATATATATATATGCCAGTGTGGCTTGTACTGCACTTAAAGATCCAGTACGGAACTTTATAGTCAAAATATAGACCAGATTAAAAGCATGTTATTTGTTTTTATTGTACTGAAAAAAACAAAAAAAACATGTGTCCTTACTGAGAGCAACTTGTGTCTCCACAAACCTGACTCCTCTTGGTGGAGATCTCCATGGAGACTGTGCTTTAGGTCTGCTGAAGGCCTCACACTGCTACACTGTTGACATTATTAATTCACTCTCCACTGGGAGGTGATAAGATACTATTGTAGTCACAGCTGCCCTGGGGCAGACTGACAGAAGCGTGGCTGCCGGTCTGCACCATCAGCCCCTCTGACCCATCACACGCATCACTTTCACACTAGGCAATGTGGGTGAAGTGTCTTGCCTAAGGACACAACAAAACTTGGTGTGAGCAGGAATCAATCCTCCGACCTCCTGCTCTAACCACTGAACCACTGTCACCACACTTTCTCCAACATTTTACACAGTAGTCAGCACTGAGACACATTTGTAATATGTATCTTAAATAATACTTTGTGTTGAAGTACATGTGTACAGTAGTCTTATGTACTATCTATCTTACATAGTACACTGCGTTAAGGTCCATGTGTACAGTAGTGAGTGTGTTACGTAGTACTCAGTGTTGAAGTACATGTGTACAGTAGTGAGTGTCTTACGTAGTACTCAGTGTTGAAGTACATGTATACAGTAGTGAGAGTCTTACGTAGTACTCAGTGTTGAAGTACATGTGTACAGTAGTGATTGTGTTACGTAGTACTCATTGTTGAAGTACATGTGTACAGTAGTGAGTATCTTACGTAGTACTCAGTGTTGAAGTACATGTGTACAGTAGTGAGTATCTTACGTAGTACTCATTGTTGAAGTACATGTGTACAGTAGTGAGTATCTTACGTAGTACTCATTGTTGAAGTACATGTGTACAGTAGTGAGTATCTTACGTAGTACTTATTGTTGAAGTACATGTGTACAGTAGTGAGTATCTTACGTAGTACTCAGTGTTGAAGTACATGTGTACAGTAGTGAGTATCTTACGTAGTACTCAGTGTTGAAGTACATGTGTACAGTAGTGAGTGTCTTACGTAGTACTCAGTGTTGAAGTACATGTATACAGTAGTGAGTGTCTTACGTAGTACTCAGTGTTGAAGTACATGTATCCAGTAGTGAGTGTCTTACGTAGTACTCAGTGTTGAAGTACATGTATACAGTAGTGAGTATCTTACGTAGTACTCATTGTTGAAGTACATGTGTACAGTAGTGAGTATCTTACGTAGTACTTATTGTTGAAGTACATGTGTACAGTAGTATCTTACGTAGTACTCAGTGTTGAAGTACATGTGTACAGTAGTGAGTATCTTACGTAGTACTCATTGTTGAAGTACATGTGTACAGTAGTGAGTATCTTACGTAGTACTTATTGTTGAAGTACATGTGTACAGTAGTGAGTATCTTACGTAGTACTCAGTGTTGAAGTACATGTGTACAGTAGTGAGTATCTTACGTAGTACTCAGTGTTGAAGTACATGTGTACAGTAGTGAGTGTCTTACGTAGTACTCAGTGTTGAAGTACATGTATACAGTAGTGAGTGTCTTACGTAGTACTCAGTGTTGAAGTACATGTATACAGTAGTGAGTATCTTACGTAGTACTCATTGTTGAAGTACATGTATACAGTAGTGAGTATCTTACGTAGTACTCAGTGTTGAAGTACATGTATACAGTAGTGAGTATCTTACGTAGTACTCAGTGTTGAAGTACATGTATACAGTAGTGAGTATCTTACGTAGTACTCAGTGTTGAAGTACATGTATACAGTAGTGAGTATCTTACGTAGTACTCAGTGTTGAAGTACATGTATACAGTAGTGAGTATCTTACGTAGTACTCAGTGTTGAAGTACATGTATACAGTAGTGAGTATCTTACGTAGTACTCAGTGTTGAAGTACATGTATTACAGTAGTGAGTATCTTACGTAGTAGTACTCAGTGTGAAGTACATGTATACAGTAGTGAGTATCTTACGTAGTACTCAGTGTTGAAGTACATGTATACAGTAGTGAGTATCTTACGTAGTACTCAGTGTTGAAGTACATGTATACAGTAGTGAGTATCTTACGTAGTACTCTGCATTGAGGCGTGGCAGAGACGCTGCTCTTTGTCCCTCGAGGACAGGGTAGGGCTCTGAGTCTGACTCCACTGGCTTCATCTCCACCAGCTCCTACAGGAACAGGGAACATCCACATGTTTTTTAGACCAGAGGAGACTTGAACACAGTCAGAGGGGAGAGGACGTTACTCTGATGATCAACACTGAGTTCACTGTTGTCCTACAGAAGCATGAGCAATGAACCCGTCCATTTATACAAATAACACATGCATGTGTGTGTGAAGTGTTCAGGCTGAGCAGACTTTGAGCTGAACACTTCACATGTCATGAGCAGGTCTACACTGTGGTCAGCTTCTCCTCATCCATGTCTCCTCTGTCCATCACTGCTCAGCACCGCTCTCTCTGCACTCAGGAGCACACGCTCTTATTACTGTAATTTGTCAGCACATACATACACTACCAGTAAAAAAGTTTGGACCCTTTCATTCAATGTTTTTTTCATTTTAACCTTTTTTTTTTTTTTTTTTTTTTTTACCCTTTTTTACATTTTGGATACACACAGAAGACAGCAAACATATGAAACAAGATATATAGAATTACGTAGTAAAAAAAAAAGTTAAATAAATCAACTAAATATTTTTCGACAAATCAAAGGGTGGCTACTTTGAGGATTTGAATATAAAATATAAAAAATGTGAAATTGACTTCATAATTCCATATATTCTGCTTCCTATATTTGATAACTTCTGTGTGTATCTAAAAACAAAAAACACTGAATGAGACGGTGACTGACTGTGTAAATGTCTGTTCTGAATGTGTCCACGATTGGAGACATTTTTACTTCTCTGCAGAAAACAACACACATCCTAAGAACATATGTGCCTTACAAACACTTCTGATTGTGTATTTGACTCTGTTCAGTGAGTCCTTGGTGCTGCAGAGAGATGGAGAGAGATGAGGAGAGATGAGGAGAGATGGAGAGAGATGAGGAGAGATGAGAGATGAGAGAGATGAGGAGAGATGAGGAGAGATGGAGAGAGATGAGAGAGATGAGGAGAGATGAGGAGAGATGGAGAGAGATGAGGAGAGATGAGGAGAGATGGAGAGAGATGAGGAGAGATGAGGAGAGAGAGATGGAGAGAGATGGAGAGAGATGAGGAGAGATGAGGAGAGATGGAGAGAGATGAGGAGAGATGAGGAGAGATGGAGAGAGATGGAGAGAGATGAGGAGAGATGAGGAGAGATGGAGAGAGATGAGAGAGAGAGGAGATGAGAGAGAGAGAGATGAGAGAGATGAGAGAGATGGAGAGAGATGAGGAGAGATGAGGAGAGATGGAGAGAGATGGAGAGAGATGAGAAGAGATGAGGAGAGATGGAGAGATAGAGAGAGATGGAGAGAGATGGAGAGAGATGAGAAGAGATGAGGAGAGATGGAGAGAGAGATAGAGAGAGAGATGGAGAGAGATGAGAAGAGATGAGGAGAGAGAGAGATAGAGAGAGATGGAGAGAGCTAGAGAGAGATAGAGAGAGAGATGGAGAGAGATGAGGAGAGATGGAGAGAGCTAGAGAGAGATAGAGAGAGAGATGGAGAGAGATGAGGAGAGATGGAGAGAGATGAGGAGAGCTAGAGAGAGATAGAGAGAGATGGAGAGAGATGGAGAGAGCTGGAGAGAGATAGAGAGAGATGAGGAGAGATGAGGAGAGATAGAGAGAGATGAGGAGAGCTAGAGAGAGATAGAGAGAGATAGAGAGAGATGAGGAGAGATGAGGAGAGATAGAGAGAGATGAGGAGAGATGAGAGAGAGATAGAGAGAGAGATAGAGAGAGATGAGAGAGAGAGGAGAGATAGAGAGAGAGAGAGAGATGAGAGAGAGAGAGAGATGAGGAGAGAGAGAGAGAGAGAGATAGAGAGAGATAGAGAGAGATGAGGAGAGATGAGGAGAGATAGAGAGAGATGAGGAGAGATGAGGAGAGAGATAGAGAGAGATAGAGAGAGATGGAGAGAGATGAGGAGAGATAGAGAGATAGAGAGAGCTGGAGAGAGATAGAGAGAGATGAGGAGAGATGAGGAGAGATAGAGAGAGATGAGGAGAGATGAGGAGAGAGCTAGAGAGAGATAGAGAGAGATGAGGAGAGATGAGGAGAGATAGAGAGAGATGAGGAGAGATGAGGAGAGATAGAGAGAGATAGAGAGAGATGAGGAGAGATGAGGAGAGATAGAGAGAGATAGAGAGATGAGAGAGAGAGAGATGAGGAGAGATGAGGAGAGATAGAGAGAGATAGAGAGAGATGAGGAGAGATGAGAGAGAGATAGAGAGAGATAGAGAGAGATGAGGAGAGATGAGGAGAGATAGAGAGAGATGAGGAGAGATGAGGAGAGATAGAGAGAGATAGAGAGAGATGGAGAGAGATGAGGAGAGATAGAGAGAGATGAGGAGAGATGAGGAGAGAGCTAGAGAGAGATAGAGAGAGCTGGAGAGAGATAGAGAGAGATGAGGAGAGATGAGGAGAGATAGAGAGAGAGCTGGAGAGAGCTGGGCAGTGTGTGTGTACCTGAGGTCTGCTGGAGGAGGGCACATCTTCAGACTGGCCCCTCTGCAGTCTCCTCCTGACCCGGGGCCCCTGGGTGCTCTGACACACATCTCCAGACTGTGAATGTTTGATTCTCTGTGGTTGTCTGCACAAAACCACACACAACACGAGGGATCAGTAAAAAGATGACGTGACAAGTGAAGCGTTCTGAACTTCTGAGTGAACAATAGAGTTTTACGGTGCTTCTGGTGCTCGGGTTTCCTCTACCAGTAAATAGAACAAAGAAGATTTTGTTTGTTTGTTGCTCCATGGTGTTCTCCACTCACCCACTACAGGAACATGTCACTCCCTGCTCTCAGAGCGGTGCTACAGATGCAGGAGCCATCATATTTCTGAGTGCGCTCTAGTGTCTATTGTCATGAGTCTGTGTTGTTGTGTTGTTGCTGTATATGACAAATGAGCTCTGGTTGTGTGAAAAAGAATTTCCCCTTGGGGACAATAAAGTCTACAGTCTAAAAAGTCTCAAGTCTCCCTCCACACTAAAAAAGAAGGAAAGAACAATTTGAGAGAGAGAGAGAAAAAAAAGAAGAAAAAAAAAGCCTTTAAAATTATGTTTTATGATTGTAATAAATAAAGTTAAGATGATGAAAGGAAATGATGAAGGTGAAACCAATATTAGTTAAGTGTAGTGACTAAAAATGTTTATTAAAAATTTTGGAGAAAAAAAATAATAAAAAAGAAAGAGAGAAAATGACTTTAAATTATAAATTGGCCATATTCTGTTGTCTTTAATAAGAAGGAAAAAAAAAGAAAAAGTTGAACATATTAAAGTTGAGAAGACATTTATATTTAGATTAATTTATTTTTACTTTTTTTTTTTGCTTGTTTGTTTCATCAAATGATTCTTTTTAGTTTTAGTTGATGCAAAAGTGCATTAGTTTCTGTCAACCAGAAAATCTATGTTTTATTTTCATGTGCAGACAGGTTTGTTGTGGTCTGGTTTCAAGGATGTAGATTTGGTCTCAGCTTTGTAGGTGAAACCAACTGATAGTTTACTTGATGAACAGATTAATTCTATAATATTGTTTACTTTACATATGATGCACACTGCAAAAACTAAACAGCACATCTTTATAAAAAAGGGTCAAATGGGAGAAGAAGTTGTGTTTATGTTTTATGAATTCTTTCCAAAAACACACAGAGTCTGGGCAGGTCCAAAATAAGTGAGAGCTGGTTTCATTTTTCAGTTTGTGTCCGTTTTTCTTCGAAGATGATTGTTTAGTGGAGAACAGTGATGTAGAAGTTTGGAGCAGATTTCTCTTTGCTTGTTGGTGATGAGATATTTGTGAGGTCATGTCCGTACTTTTTTCCATGGAATATTGTCAGTAGAGTCGGGGTCTCACAGCGCACGAGTCGGACTCTGTTTGGGAGGTGCACTTGTGCTGATAGTCGCTCTTTTTTCTGCAGTGACTCATTATGAGACAAGTTTAACTGAAGATGACGACTAGTAAGTTCCTTTTGAAAAGTTTTTCAGAGTTTGGTGCAGCATCTTCACTCACGCTGCTCAAGTCGACATCTTCAGGTGCGACCCTGTCCTGCCGCTTCCCCAGTTTAGGCTCCTGGCTCCACTAATGACATCACTCTGTTACAGCCAATGAAACAGCGGCAGGAGTAACCCTGTCGTCATATCACTGAATACATCTCAGAACGTCTAACAAACTAAATGTGAACTAAAACATGTTCAGTTCATATTACTGAGTTTGGAAAAATATCGGAATAAATGTATATTTTTGTTTATTAAAATAAAAAGGTAAATATTAGTAGGGACTATTTTGTCTTCCCCAAAAATGTATTGTGAAATGTCCCCACCGTCCCTTTGCAAACCTGCACCCTTGTCTTGGACCTAGTGTCCAGTCGTTTCATCTTCTTCTTTCACTCTTTAGTTTTTTATGAGAAAAATCTGTATGCAAGTTCAGTCACTGTTTTTTTGTATTTTTTCAGTCAGCAGAAATGACATTGTCCAAAACTATGAGGACATTTTACTCAACGAATTACATTCTAAAAGATACAAATATAAAAAAACATTTCTCCACTTTCTGTGACTCACATGTTGGCCCTGCCCGTGGGCGTGGTAGTCGCGAGTGCAGCGGTGGAGGTGGTGGGGCTCACGGTGGAGGAGACGGAGGTGGGGACGGGGGCCGCTTCCTCGGCTTTCTTCTCAGGCTCTGGCCCAGGCTCGGGGTCAGGGGGAGGGGGAGAGCGCGGGGGCTGTCTGGGCCTGGTGTCCATGTCCTGGAGGTGGGCGAAGGGCAGCACCGAGCGGAACAGAACGCCCAACTTACACTGACGGAGGAATCACAAACATCAGTGGATTATACATGTGACGAGGGGTTTGGTCATTTACTAATTTCAACTAAAAATAAAACAAAAAGACAATACAATATACATTTGAGGTGTAGGTTTTACTTTGATGTTAAAACATATTTAAACCAACACAAGATCTTAAGTAAAATTTACTAAAATGAAACAAAATTTGAGGAGTTAAGTGAGTTAATTTGACTATTTAAAACAAACAAAAAAATATATATATAAAAATCTAAATAGATGGTAATAATATCTAGCTGATTCATGCATATACATATATTTACTTGTTAGACAGAGCCACATGTTTGACTTATTTCAACAAGTTTCATGTAATTTTATGAACATATTCTAAAAAAAAAAAGAAAACGTGGACAGAACTGTGCTTGAAATAACTAAAGAAATAAAAGTCAGAATAGACTAAAGGGGAGAACAAAGTAATATAAAAATGTGCAAATGAAAAAAAAAAAAATAATAATAATAATAATTAATAAAAATAAATAAATAAATAAAAATAAAATAAAAATTAAGGTAAGGTGTAAAAGACAATCCTTCAAAGTTATCACAGTGTAATACAGAGTGTTTAAATATTATACTGAACAAAGGGTAATGGTAGATCAACAACATATACTATTAAAATAAAAGTATGCTCTGCCAAAAATATAAAAGTAGAGTATTTCTATATGTGACTTCTGTTCACTTCTGCTGAATGTGGACAGTTACCATCTGGACCAGACTGAGTGTGGGTCTCACCTGGGGGCCCGTGGGGTGCAGAGCCTGCAGTTTCTTGAGCTTGTTCTGTTTGTAGTAGTCATAAATCATGAGCGCGGCGTACACTTTCCCCACAGTCAGTTCATTATCTGAAAACACAGAGGAGTGACGCTTCACACACATGTCCACTAGAGGGCAGCAGAGGAGCGCCGACCAGCACGAGAGAGGGTTCAAGAGTTAGAACACAACTACAGTGTATATGTTTGAAATATGGAGGAGTTATTGAAATAGTAGACTCTGTTCACGCTTACACAAACCAGGAAGACCTTTGGAAACATGCGATGACAACTTCCAGCGGGCTCTCTTTGAGGCAGTAAGTCTGGTCTTGGGACTGACCTCAAGACCGTTTTTTTTTTTTTTTTTTTTTTTTTACAGTCCGACCCACTTTCTTCACTTTCTTTACAGTTTTGTGTAAAATGCCAGTGGAAGTTCTCCTAAAGAGGTTCTCAAACTGTGGGTGAGGGTCCAAAAAAGGACGCAGAGTGATTCAGTGTGTAACAGTTTGCTTAGTTTATTTTAAGCCTAAATGAACATTAATCAGATAAAATGGAGAAAAATCGATAAAAATTATTGTATTGATATATGTGCCAAAATAACTGTAAAATACAAATACATGTAGAAAATGACAAAGAGGGTCTCGATTTGGTTTCGAGGGGCCATGGTGTTGGTCTTCTCTCGGTCTTGACCGTTAAAAGACTTGGTCTTGTCCTGGTCTTGGGATGCTGTGGTCTCGGACCGGTCTTGATCTAGTTTAGTGCACTCTTGACTACAACTCTACTCGAAGGAGAATATTTTAATTCCAAACAATTTTGTTCAAAACTAATTAATTCTGAATTAAAAAAACATCATCTAAATGTGGCCTATGTCAGTCTATTTTTGTCTTAAAGTGACATACTGTGGCTTTAATGATGATTGTTAATGTGTTTAGATATTGAGGTACAGCAGCATAAGTCCGTGTGTGTGTGTGTGTGTGTGTGTGTGTAGGTGTGTGTGTGTGTGTGTGTGTGCGTGTGTGTGTGTGTGTGTGTGTGTGTGTGTGTGTGTGTGTGTATGTGTGTGTGTGTGTGTGTGTGTGTGTGTGTGTGTGTGTGTGTGCGCGCTCCTTACACTTGTGTGGCGTGACGAGCAGGTCCACGTTCTTCTGGGACAGGTTGGGCCACACTTTGCTGATCTCTCTGCGCAGCTCTGCATCACACAGGTGCTGAGCCAGGACCCCTGAGCACACAAACACACGCGCTTGTTAACCAAGTCTCACAGACAAACTGGGTCGCATCTGAGCTGTGATTGGCTTCGAGGGTTTCATACAGAGCTGTGATTGGCTGACCTGATGTTTGGTTCAGAATAGAGAGCTGTGATTGGCTGACCTGGTGTTTGGTAGAGAACAGTGAGCTGTGATTGGCTGACCTGATGTTTGGTTCAGAATAGAGAGCTGTGATTGGCTGACCTGGTGTTTGGTAGAGAACAGTGAGCTGTGATTGGCTGACCTGATGCCAGTTTGATGTTCAGCGCGGTCCTGATCAGAGCCATGAGGGTGGAGGTGAAGTGCACACTGTAGTCTTCTCCGATGGGCATGTTCATCTTGACCAGACGCTGAGGGACACAAGCACACAGTCAGAAGAAGAACACGTCTGACTTTTGTCTCAAATCAAAATGACTGCAGAGGGCAAACAGAGGGCTGACAGCAAAAAGGGACTAGAAACATGCCAAGAAGTGTTTCAGACTTTTAACTTTGCTTCCTTTGGTACTGACAAAAGCAATAGTAAAGGATAAAACTTCAAGAAATAAGATGATGTTAAAGCCACTGTATGTAAGTGTATGGAGGTGGCACGGCATCTGCAATTTTCTATTTCAATAGAAATAGAAAATTAAAACCATACTTAGGAACATTTTCCATGAAGATAGATACAGGGTGACCAGAATTTCAAAAACTGGGACACTCTCAGTTTGTGGTGGTTGGTAATAATATAATTGTGAAACAAGAGAGTAGTTAAGGAGAATTATTCTCCACTTGGCCCATTTACGACCGACATGTGAGACAGTACACTCACATTTTCTGTGTGTTTTGGTCATTTTTAAGCAGCATTTTTGTATTTTACCTCAACAAATGTCAATTTATGCCTCTCTTTACTGTTGGCAGAGATCAGATTGGTCCAAAATAGGGACAGCTGGGACATTTTTTTGTATAAAACTGGGACAAATCAATGGTTTTGGGTAAATTTGCTGGGACAGGGGATGCAGTCCTGGGTAAATAGGGACGTCTGGTCACCTTAGATCAGGGGTCTCCAACTTGTAGCTCGGGAGCTCTCCACCCCATTCCAAGCAGCACACCAAGGGATTTCTGAATTATATGTATTGTGCTGAATAAGTAAAATTTGATAAATTACCATTGTAAATCTATCATTTTAATGCCCAGTTTTGTGCACTAATAAATAAATAATGGTTTGTATATAAAATAGGCATTTAACTGTCACCAATCTAAGGCTGTGGCTCTATATTCACTCAATTTCTTGCAATTGTTAAAACCAGTAGCTCTTTGGCATTTTTGTTTTAGAAAGGTAGTTCAACAGAGGAAAAAGCTAGGAGACCATTGCCTTAGATAGATAAGTTTTATAAAATACTGAGGAAGATTATACAAGGGAACAACATGTCTGTGGAGGCCCTGCTCCAGGCCAAAAGGAGCTCTACTATCTGATCCACTTCAAAGTCTGCTCTGGGTTCTAGAAGTAAATTTTCATTTTCCCAAAGACTTTTCAAACAAATTCTAATATTAGAAGTTCAAATACATCGCTGTGTGCGAACTATAGCTATGTTCGGACTGCAGAGCTTAATGCTCAATTAGAATTTTTTTGTGAAATCGTTTATATATTTATTTTTTGCGAGATTGTTAACACTTGTAATTAAATGCAACTTGCATGTGATCTCATGCACACTGAAGGACAGAACGACGTCACACACAGCGAGCGTGCTCAGTGTTTACAGAAGTCGCCTAAACTCTGGGCTTGTCTCCCAAAATCCGGTCCAGTTCTTGATAAAATGGACAGGTTACACATCCACAGTTGCTTCGTTTGTCTGAGTCTTTAGTCTCCTTGTATTTGACACGCAGGCTCTTTATTTTTTGTTGACATTGGAGCCAGGACCGTTTGTAGCCACGCTCTTCCATTTCTTTGGCAATCATTTCAAAAACTGCCCAGCTCTGATAAGACTCCTCCAATTTGTCCTGAATACAGTGATCCCCCCAAATATGAATGAACTCGCTCCCCTCACTTTCCCTCCACTGACAAGTAGGTGGGATGAATGTGACCTGGCTGTTCAGACTGAAGTCACATGTCAAAAGATCAGATGTGTATCAGTTTCAGGAGCACATATCCAAGTGGCCTGGGTCACATTTGAAAAAACTGGATCTGTGTGGTTCAGACTGTCATTAAAAGATCAGATACAGGAACATAGGGACGAAAAAAAAAAAAATCCGATTTGGGTCACTTCAGGCTGCAGTCTGAACGTACATTTATAGATCTTGGGGTCATTAGTTTTCAAACCTTTTTATATGATCTTTTGGTAAAGCTTATTGGAAACTTTTGCGAGAAATGTGCTAAGAAACAGGTTTCTAGAGATGCAAGATTTTTAGTGTAGTTATTTTAGTCTTTTTTTGTCTTAAAAGCTCCATAATGTGGTTTTAATGGTGACTGATAACCAGTGTTGGGGAGTAACAGATTACATGTACCGGAGTTACGTAATCAGAGTACAAATTATGAGTAACTGTATTCAGTTACAGTTACTGTTTCTATGAGAGGTAATTGGATTACAGTTACTTGGTTGAAGTAAATGGATTACACTGTGGTATTTTCCTGTTTTCACATTTTGGGCTATTCCCTTTCTTTTTTTTTTTTCCTTTTTTTTTTTTTTTCCGTAATTCCACTCATTGCCGGACCAGGTCTAAACCAGGTCTAAACCAGGTCTAAACCAGGTCCAAACCAGGTCTGAACCAGGACTAAACCAGGACTAAAGCAGGACTAAAACCAGGTCTAAACCAGGTCTGAACCAGGTCTGAACCAGGACTAAACCATTTTCAGAGTTATTTACAGTGAGATATTTACCAAGCGGTTGAGAAAACCTATTACGACATAGATCAACGTTAACAGCACTGCCATTAAGATTTAGTGTGTCACAACTGCCTGGTTTTAAAAAATACTGTCATTTTAAAACCTCTCTCGGGGAATAAACGAGCGTGTCTTGTATCTTGCTGTCCGAGGTAAGACTATTCTTGCAGTGATGCTGAGGTCCTGGTGGTGTTGCGTTGGAGCGGTTGCTATGAGACGAGTGGAGATGGTGTGAAAAAGCCGTGCTCTGGTGCTAAACGCTGCTGCAGAAGGATTATGGAGCATCCACAGTGGAGTCTGAGCTTATCTACTGTTAATACATACACCCGCACACACCGCCTCACAACACAACACCATATATGTGCAAGCTTATGTAACTGATCACTGCAAATCAGCATTTTTAAGTCTATATTTAGATGTACTGTATGTATACTTCACTATGTTTTTAATTGGTGCAAACTAGGGATGGGCATTTGATAAAATTTTCTTAATCGATCGTTAATTATTGATTAATCATTAACGTTCTTATATTAAAATTATCATCATTATTATGACTATCTTGCACTACTAATCTGCATAAATAAATTCAACTTTCGACATATAAACCGTAACGACTCCAGAGCCACATCAGCCCGTTTGACATTATAATGTGTTTAATTCAGTTTTGCACAAATCTCACAGAAACAAAACTTAAAACCTCATGGCTAATTTGCATAAACTAAACAAAGAGAAAAACAGCTCTTGTGCGCTGATGTGGTTCAACTTCTGTCAGACTAAAGGACACGACTCAGTGGAATACAGGTTAGTGTGACCATATTTGTTTGTCAAAAGCAGGACACCGTACGGGGGGAGGGAGGTGGGGCCTCATCATCGACATTGAGCGACTCTCACCTGGCGAGGAGAAAATTCAGTTTGCTTAATGGCCCCATCTCATGTAAAATCACTCTTTTCACATTGTATCTTCTGCACATAAACAAGCACTATTTGGGTTTTGGAACATCCATTACACAATAGTTCTGAAATCTTCCTGATTTCTTGGAGACAGTCACAGACCAGGAACTATGAAAGACCGACTATTGCTCCTCCCCCCGCCCGTCCTGAGAAAGCACAGGCTCCGCCCTCCAAACGTGACGTAGGCGACGAGTGAGCCGCCCTTCCTCCGTCCATCTCAGGGAGGAAGGGGGAGACAGGCGTGACCCTGATAGTGGTAGAATAAACTTTTATTCATCATGGAGATACAGCGCGTTCAGCCGCATGTGTTGGACCCGGAATCGGACGAGGACTTTGAGGAGCACGAAGCTCAAGCACCGCGTCCACATCAGCTGAACATTACTGATTGGTAAAGTATTAATAAACACTAGTAGATCAACTTATTATATCATGTACACTGCAGTGTAGAAAAATGAACTTGTGCTGTCGCTTTTGTTTAGGTTCATGTGGGAATTGTCAGTTGATGCGGGGTGGAGGTGGGGTGGAGGCTTTGGAGCAGGGGAGGGGGGCGGGGGCGAAGCGCTTTCTGCTACGTCAGATGTGTCATAGGTGAATCTGCCGCATCATCGTTGTAACAGCTTTAGTTCGTTGTCACGTGGGAGGGTGGCACAAATACACTGCAATTTGTTCAAAAAACACCAAATCAATCTAAAAACCACTTCGGCGACATACACAAGGCCCACACATCACTCTTAGAAGGTAGAAAGCTCTGAAAAAGTTGATTTTGCATGAGATGGGTCTTTTAAGAAAGCGAACGTCCCCATCTTGCAGGTTTTGCGTGTAGGAGCGAGACAAAATATTGCAGATGCGGGCGGGAGAAAATTACAATTCTTAGCGGGCGAGAGCAGGACTACACAATGTGGGCAGGAGCGGGACTGAAAATTCTGTTCCGCGCAGACCTCTACTCCAGGCCTGTTTGTGATGAAGAAACAAGCCCTTCAGATTAAACATATACTACAACCGCAAAAGTGCCAAAAGTACCACCAGAGGATATATAGTATTTTTTCCATCATTTCTTGTTAGAAAAAACCTCCAGCGTGCTCTTCTTGATGCATAAGATGTGAGTATATGACCTTCTAGAAGCCATAAGAGCAGTGTTGTGGTGTCAAATGAAAAGGGCTCATTTAATTACACTGTGTTAACACATTAAGAGCCCTGAACACAGCGCTCTCATTAACAGCACACGGGGTAATGCTTATTGTACAGAGTGACGGGCATGTGTTGACAGCACACGTCATGCACGACCCAGGGGTTAGGAGGTTGAGGCATGCTCCTTTAGACTAGAGCTACACTACAAAACACCCACTTTACTTCAAATGACTGAGATTACAAATGCTTAATCTTGGTTTAAAGAAGACTGATTGTGCTTGTGCCTGCTGTATAGTTATAATTACATTTTTAATCACAACATTTATCTTGAATACGCTGACTTCTGCGTTAGAAAACTCTGGTGTCATTATAAACGTCAGCACAACAAAGAGTCATGTAGCTGTCGGCCCCTCC